CTAACAAATATTTTTTCTTATTCTAATAACCCCATTTCCACATTTTTATAAGTTTTGCAACCCTCAAAATATTACTTGTGATCCTCCAGAACATCCTTGTGACCCTGATTTGGGTTGGGACATGGGGTGGGGGAAACCACTGCAGTATTGTATTCATCATTTCATTTTCAGTAGGTGTACAAAGTCAAATAATCTTTGTGATGGAAGCTCAGTGAATAATTAATTCTTAAGACTGTGTAAAAAAAAATTTAGTGAAAGAAATTCCATGTATTTCCTCAACCAAGTTTTACACCCAAGGGAACTGGTGTGCACAAAACATCTTGTTTCTACTAGCTTTAGTTAAATTGTGCACCTCTTAGAAGTGAGAAAAATGAAAAGAATAATGGAGATGGTCACTTAAATGAGGTTTGTTTTTGTAATAAGTGTATGTAAAGGACCATGCAAATATTATGTGAAAGGCCATTGCTTAATTGAGGTGAACTTGTTAAAGTTTTGGCTGTGTATCACTCATGAAGTGAAGATAAACCCAGTTCATGCTTATAATGTCAAGATAATACCAGTCCATGCTTATAATGTTGAGATAATACCAGTCCATGCTTATAATGTTGAGATAATACCAGTCCTTGCTTATAATGTTGAGATAATAACAGTCCATGCTTATAATGTTGAGATAATACCAGTACATGCTTATAATGTTGAGATAATATCAATCCATGCTTATAATGTCAAGATAATACCAGTCCATGCTTATAATGTTGAGATAATACCAGTCCATGCTTATAATGTTGAGATAATACCAGTCCATGCTTATAATGTTGAGATAATATCAGTCCATGCTTATAATGTCAAGATAATACCAGTACATGCTTATAATGTTGAGATAATATCAGTCCATGCTTATAATGTTGAGATAATACCAGTCCATGCTTATAATGTTGAGATAATACCAGTCCATGCTTATAATGTTGAGATAATACCAGTCCATGCTTATAATGTTGAGATAATACCAGTCCATGCTTATAATGTTGAGATATCAATCCATGCTTATAATGTCAAGATAATACCAGTCCATGTTTATAATGTTGAGATAATATCAGTCCATGCTTATAATGTTGAGATAATGCCAGTCCATGCTTACAATGTCAAGATAATACTAGCCCAAGCTTATAATGTTGAGATAATACCAGTCCATGCTTATTATGTTGAGATAATACCAGTCCAAGCTTATAAATTATAGATAATAAGATTCCATGCTTATAAAGTGAAGTTAATACCAGTTCATTTTTTTATATGCTGTCCTTGACTGTGATATTTATGTACCTTAATATTAGAATAAGTACCCATTGCAAGTTTAATTCACAAATACATGTATGAGGTATGGATACTGTTGTTTCTTTGAAGACTAAAATGATTATATTTTTATGAACTTTTTGTATATTACTGCTTGAATAGGATGCATTTAAAACTACTTGTTTTATTTTATAAAGTTTTTTGTATGTACGTGTGTATGTATGTATGTATGTATGTATTTATGTATGTATGTATGTATGTATGTATGTATGTATGTATGTATGTATGTATGTATGTATGTATGTATGTGTGAGTGTGTATGTATGTATGTATGTATGTATGTAAGTACGTACTTACGTACGTACATTTGTATGTATGTATGTATGTATGTATGTATGTATGTATGTATGTATGTATGTATGTATGTATGTATGTATGTATGTGTGTATGTATGTATGTGTGTATGTATGTATGTGTGTATGTATGTATGTGTATGTATGTATGTATGTATGTATGTATGTATGTATGTATGTATGTATGTCAGAACTTTCTTTATCAGCTGGGAGCTGAATGATTTACCAAGTTGCTCCTTTTACTTTACACCTTGCTAATTTTTAAAAATACCTGAATCCCTGCTGAAGAAGGTCCCCTAAAGCCCCTCCCTCGTTTGGCTACTCATCCTCCAACTTTAAATATATATTGGAAGGCTTTGTATGTATTTACACCTGCATGCACACCTGTGAACTCTCATGCCAGGAGAAGAAACTCCTGATTTTACTACTTGACTGTGATATTTCTGTACCCTAGTATTGGAATAAGTACTCATCACAAGTTTAATACTCACTTTAAAGACTACTTTATATTTTAATATTTCTATGACCTTTTTGTACATTATATACTTGAATAGGATGCATTTCAAATTGTTTTATTTTTTATTAACTTTTTTGCTTTTGTGTGTATGTGTGTTGATTTCTTTATCAGCTGGTAGCTGGATGAATTACACATGGATACTTTTAAAAAATCCTGCATACCTGTTGGAAGAGGTCCCCATAACCCCCAGCAACCTACCTTGGAAACTCACTCTCCATCTTTAAATCTAATGGAAGGCCCTGTATGTATGTACACATGCACGCATGCAAATATGTCATACTTGTCAACTCTCATGCCAGGAGAAAGAAACTCCACACCTACCCCCATTTTCATAATATCTCATGATTTTTGTAGAGAAACTCCACACCTACCCCCATTTTCATAATATCTCCTAATTTTTGCAGATAACTCTTCATTATAAAACTTTTCTATTTTCATTTCTCCTAAAAAAGACATTCCTACAGAAATAGATATATCTTATGCAATCTACAGAATCTGTTTTATTTTATCACCCCTGTATACTGTTGTGGCAAATTAATTATCAGACTACAAAGAATTTTTGTCTTTAGTAAATGGAATGTTAAGTATAAACGTTATTCATGTCAATTTTATAAATTTATAATACCCCAAAAGATATAGCAGAACTCGAGTTTTCATATATTTACATGCCCTCTCACAAGCAACAAAATTTAAGTACATTTGGATAGCTAGACTGGCTGTGGTGGACTGTAATTGTGGCCTTCCAATTACTATTGTTAGTATTGTTCGTGGTCCATTATAGCTCATAGCGTCAGCTGACAGCCGTCTACTGCAGCATACGCGCCTATGGGAAAGCGACACGGGCACATGCTATGCTAGATGAGGCAGCCAGGTTCTCATGCGGTGATGCCAAAAATGGCTTAAAGGCAGGGCGCACAGCAAATGTACCAGTCGTCTCAACGCACCATCGTTTAAGGCCTCACTTTGACGTGGATGTTCACCAACAAAGTTTATGAGGCCGACATCCTTTTTATTTTACCACTTGACAGGATGGTGCATGTATAAATATGCGCTAGCTGCTTTAAGATAACCGATACCATGACCAGCAAAAAGGCCTTTGAGGTTTCCATGGGTCACATCTATAAATGAGTCATTCTTAAGTGGTCAAGCTGCTTCAGGTGGACGCAGAAAGGATGGTCATGGATGACATGACACGGCTGTTGGAGTTACACAAGGTTTATGTTCGCCAGGGTGAAGCCAGCTTCCACCAAACGTTGAGTATGGTGGAGAGATTTAAAAACATTGTGTCGGAGGGGCCAAGAGATGGAGCGGAGCCTTGATAAACGAGGATCAGACGACTGTTAGGCATGGCTGCAGCCTTAAATGAAGAGGTACGAATCATACTCTTCTTTAGCTTTTTTTTTTTTTCCTATCCGAGCATGTCTTAAGACCAGGTCACGGTTTCAAAGTCCATTGTTTCGTGTCCAGCGGAGAGAGGCTGGCTGCTGTTGCATTGTGCACAACTACCTGGAGGCTGATACTGCGAATAGTGTTGTACGTGTAGTGGAATTTGAAGATAGACTAACTTTAAAGCTTGTAGTAAGACCATTAGTCTTACTTCAAGCTCTAAAATTAGTCTATCTTCAAGGATTTCAAAACACTAAAAAAAGTAAAAATGTTGTTTTGCCAGTAACTGAAATGTCATTTGTTAAAACACAGCCTTTCAGTATTGCTTAAGCAGCTTGAACATATATTTTATGATTTTATATATTCATGTTTTAATTAGGTAAAAGTGGGTATTTTATTAATTTATGTAATTAATGTCCATTAATGAGTGAAATAAAGTCATCAGTTGCAATTATTGTGTTATTCTCATTTTACACAAATTTAGCCAATTAGGCAACCTTGAATCAGGATTACCTGTTCGAGTTTTATTTTTTCACTCTTTGCGATGAAGCTAGCACGATTACTATTAATGCTGAATTATTCTGTTATATGACAAGTGATAAGTGACTTTCTGGTTGGTATGTTTGCTGCTTGTCTGTATAAACAACGTAGCATGAACAGCATATTAACGCTGGTCATTCCGTTGTAGCTTCTGAAGGATGCTGATCATGGGATTGCAGTAAGAAAAGTGCCTGATGATTCGTTCTGCTTTAAGGAAAATTTGACTAGACATTTGTCCCATATGATAGGTCAATATATTTATAATATAGCTAATGTTTGTTTTGTTTATATGTACTCTGTATATTTCTATGAAATGATTGTTGATGTATTTTAGTACCTTTAATAGGTTATCAACCTGCATATTCTTTTCTGAACCTATCATTTTGTCAATACGTTTGTCTGTCTGTCTGTCTGTCTGCTCTCTACTTTTGCTCTACAAACTGATTTTTTGTGTTTAGGCTTATTTAATTCACTGTCTCTCTAGATGGATAATTAATAAATATATGGGGTAGTAAGTCATTCGTATTGAATGTAAACTGAATAAATGGATACATGCAGATCATTAATGCAATAATGACGGTATTGTTAATTATAGTTTTAGTAAATGTATATGTATTGTATTTGCAGGGTTTAAGAATACAGGAGAAATGTAGTTATCTCCATATACCAACCTCGTGCAGAATAAGCCCAATTTCTTATAACAAAAATAAGATTTGTATTTTTCTATTCTAGGAGTAGAAGGCAAGTGCTGTAACAACTACATTGTACTAGACCTCAAACACCCCCGGAAAAACTTGGTTTTGACATTTGGTAATATTTGCTTGGGCTTAAAAGAATCTTTTCATATTAATATTCAAACCATCATAACTAACTGTGTTGACCATTTTTCATAAAATTTTAAGCATGCTTTAAAAGATAAAAAAAATACCTAATTGGTTAAAAGCGTCCGCCTTGGATGTGGGTGGTCGTGGGTTCGAACCCCGGCTGAGTCATGCCAAAGACTTATAAAAATGGTACTATCAGCTACCTCGTTTGACGCTCAGCATTAATAGGTTAGTGTTAGGACGTATCGGCCTGGTGTCAGGTGAATGTGACTAGGTGGGACATTATGCTACTTGTCTGCTGCATGATGCCCCAGTGCTCGACGTCACTATTACTAACACACTGCAGACAATGTAGCGATATAACTAAAAGTAATTTAAGCTACGTTTACAATCCAACTCACACATACACATAAAAATTAATTGTGTTCTCTATTACGTTCTATGCTAAAAAGATAGAGCCGTTTTAAGAAGTTTGGGGGCCCTAGGCACAACCTCTAACCTTAAAAGTAACCAGAATTGGGCCTCAGTTTCTCAGTCTCAGATAGTATTGCATTGTATTTCCATGTGCACGTGTGTCATTTTGTTAAATTTATTAATATAGATTTAGTCATCTAACACAACCGAGGTACCCTGCTGCGCGGGGGCCTAGGCAAGTGTTTCGCGTGCCTATGCATTAAAATGGCACTGTATGGAGGAGGGCGTGGTTATCGTTGCATCTGGAGATAGTTGACAAGTACAGAGACTTCAAAAAGCAACAGGAGCAACAGGGAGCAAAAAAATCACAAACAAAAAAAAAACAACAGTATAATTGGACAATTCACACGAATAATTCTCATATAACTTCACAAGAGAAAAACATTTGGGCATATTCTTGTTCTAAATGCCAGGTGTATTACTGTTTCTGCAAATTGCAGCTACTGGTTTTGTCTTTTGCTTTTATCATAACCTGTCAACAAGGTGATTGTTTTCTTCCCCTTATCCGAGAATCATTATTAAGAATATAAAAATTGGCATAAGCAGGAGTAAATAAAATATTATATAAAATAGCCATGAAATTAAAAAATTTCATAAATTTGTTTCAGATCCAGTGCGGACCGCACCGGGTGACACCATCAGAGGAGACACCAAAATGACTGTCAATTCAAACATGAGAATATTCTAAATTCACAACTCTGCGATATTTGGTCAATTGCTTAGGTGGCTTACACAACATTGGCATAATGACTCCCGTAGGCATAACTGGTTGAGATTTGATATGGTAGCCTGCCTGACTGAGGTAGGCTATTTGGTGGGGAAGGGGGCATGGGGCCTATGGGGTGGCAGTGTGCGGGTCAATTGTTTGGGCGGTGTAGGATATTCGATTAGCAATCTCCACTCGCTCCAGAAAGGCCCAGCTCTGGGGCCAAGCGCCCTCTTAAAGGAATCGCCGCCAAGCCTAGGGCCGCAATAAGTCGACAGGGACAATATGCGACTATAATACTTACTTCGTGCCATTCTACACAGAATAAAGAGCAGCAAAATGAACTAATCAACAAGTTAAATGATAGTTGGTGTTGGATGGTTGATGGAGTCTAGGTGGTGGAAAAACTTCAAAAAGAGTGGAAGTTTCCATTCAACCTAGACCTTATGGAGAGACTGAAAGCAGCAAGTTATCATTTGCAAATGATAATAATGGAAGAAGCAGATAAGTTAAGAGGCTTCAGCTATCCAAAATTTGCCAGAATAGGAACCTTGAAGAAAATTTTGGATATTGTAATTGAAATGGAATCTTTCTTGGAAGGTGTCTTCTCTTTACAAAAAAAATGGCCTTTCGTCAAAAAGGGCATGGACAATGTAAAGAAAGCGGAAGACCTAATGAGGAAAGTACTAAAAGAAGAAGTCTAGAAAATTAAGGACACCTGGACAAAAGAGAGGAGAGGAAGGAAAAGGAAATCCAGAAAAGAAAGAAGACTTTGAGAAATTAAACCCAAACTGGATAAAAGTGCAAGAGAAATTTAGAGCTCTAGGACATCCTGACTGGATGCCCGAAGAAGAAAAGAAAAAGAAGAAATTTTTTAAACAATTTTTTATATTGCCTAAACAAAAACAATTTTATTTTTGTGTGGAAACAATTGAATTGTATAGTATATGTCAGTTATAAAACATATATCTCACTACATTCACCAACACGATGAACGCTTCACGTCACAGTACTTAAAAACGCTTGACGTTACAGTACTTGTACATTGCTACAATGTAGACAAGTGACCAGTAACGTGACGTCATGCCACCTGTGTCATAACTCTTGTCCATATACAGGTTCAGGGTGTGCGAGTCACTAATACAAAATTCCCTTGGTCCGTATACAGGCCCAGGCTGAGTTTTTGTCCGTATAAATCGTGTCCGTATACAGGCCCAGGGGATGTGTCTGTAATGTTAATTCCCATTGTCCGTATATCTCCCCACTATACTACTTATGGCCCAAGTCCATCAGAACTCATACAAGAAATTTAATTTTGTTTATTGTTAAAAATCTCCAAACATTGTGAGCATGAAAACATTGCTTGAAAAAGTTAAAGGTTTTGATCACAGGAGCTGTAAGAATACCCAGAAACTGCTACTTTCATGGCCCACAAAGCTTCTGTCATGTCAATTTGATCCTCCGTTGTTTACTGATTGCCGAATCAATGGCAGTTACTCGGGTGTTAGTCCAGGATCTCAACTAAAGCTGTATGATGGTACGAAAAATTTGTTGAGATTTGCTGAATCTTACTTTAGTAAACTCTTTATGCTTCTATTCTTCAGTATGACGCGTAAATAAAGTTTCCACATTCAGTTGTTTTACTGACAATAAAACAACAATCTGCAGATTCTGAAGAAGAATCTTTCTAACTATATGATTCATGTTTATATCCATTGCTTTCTTCTGGCATCTTCACTTTATTTATTGTGTATCTCTTCTTTGCAACTCGTTCCATTGATCTAAAGATATATAAAACTTAATTTTGATGGAGTATTATAATTTCTTGTCCCCACCCAACTCGAAAACATTAAATAAAATGAGTCCAAATTGCTTTTAAAATGTATAAAGATTATAATAGTACTGAACGTATTACAGGTTGGCGCAGAGATTACAGGGAAAAATTATCCAAGCACACGTTTCAATCACAGGGGCTCGTATCACTGCTTACAATTTAACTATCAAACATACATACAGTATAAACTGTATTGTTTATTAATCGGGCTATGGAAACGGAATTCATTATTTTGGAATCTTTCTTTCAGCATTTCGGTCGAGTAATTATGTCAGGTTTATATATATTACAAAATTAAAGGTAACACAATGGCAAGAGATATTAAGCAATGTAAACTGATCGTGTAAAAAATGTAAAGTTTAGCATTTTACAAAATTTAATAAAATAAGCTATTATGTTGAAGAGAACCAACAATGAAAAGGATGAATGTGTCTACAACTTCTCGTTTACGCGGGGGTTGGGGATTTACTAAAGAATTTAGAAACAGACTATACACCGATTTTTTCTTGAGACTTCCGTTCTAGCAGCAAGTTAATATGTTGCCGTGACCTATTTTATAGCAGACAATAAAACTACGCGTGGGACAATTTCTTGCAAAATCGGAAACTTTGATTAAAATGCAGTATTGTTTTAAGGTATACCTTTCCATCTTTTATATAATGCATTTATTTTATAATTCTAAAGGACACATAGTAAATAGGATTTTCTGGGTTACAAGTTCAAGACGGTCGTGGAATGAGTGGTTCTTCGTGTTAACCTTTAGAAATCACATTTTCATATGCATTTAGGGTATAAATGTGGGTTATATTTTGTTTACTTTTTAAAATATCACTTTAATAAAATGACAATATTTTTTTCTTCATAAAAATTGGATTTTTGACACCCCCCCAAAAAAAAAACAACACGTGATCCAATGTTTACAGGAATGCGTATCGTTGCATATAATTACCGACTGGCAGAGTTGGCTGACATAGTGGGTGGTCTTAACGCATAATGTGGCGCTCTATAGTTTCGTATTTATTAAAGTTAGAATTTTTAAAAAAATAGTTTCCCCGGGTTTCCTTACTAGTTATACTGGCTATTTAAAAGAGACTTTGTATATCTTAGGTATTGTTCAAAAAACCTTTAATTCCCGTTATTTTGATGTATGATTGATGGGTGTAATATGGATTAGAGAGTACACAGCTTGGCCTTACTCCAGATGTGCATCTTTCAAAAAGAGTGCTAGCTCTATTTGCTCATTTTCACATCTCGAACTTCAGAGGTAAAATGTAAAAAATAGAGCCGATAGCTCGATAGCTTTTTTTTTTTTTTTTTTTTTTACATTTTATGTATTTGGTAATTCATCCATTGCACTTTTAGAAGCTGGTATTGTCTAGTTTGGCAAAATTCAATTTTCATATTTTAATAGCTGCCAAGAATAGTGTACTTTAGACAAATTCAGGTTGATTTTTGGAGAACAAGAGGGCAGTCATTTTAGATAGCAATGTCCTAAGATCATTTAAAATTTCCAAAAGTACAATATCCAAAGAAATTTCAGCCACATTACATGAAAGTAGTATATAGGTATGCCAATATTCTCTCCACTATGCATGTTTAAAATGCAAACAACTTCACCTTACATACATCACTCTCTCAAAAGTACATAATAACTGGTGAGCGCCACCTAATTTAGTCGCATTTCAGTTTTATTTAGAGTTGCGTCCCTTGAAGAGAATTTTGGTGCGAAGATGGCTGCTTTGAGTTGGCGTCCTGTATCTAAGGGATACGCTTTTCCTCTTTTTGTTGTATTTCTTGCAGATTTACCAGGTAAGTTGACCCATCGTCAGTTTTGAAACTCTGAACAGGCATCTAATTTACGATTATCTTTCAAGTATTACTTTATTAGAAGAGACAACTGTTACTCAAAGATACTGTCCACACCACAGGGGTTCGTTACAAAGAAAATTAAGTCTAACCTGTAACAATATATATATATATATATATATATATATATATATATATATATATATATATATATATATATATATATATATATATATATATTGCTACAGGTTAGACTTAATTTTCTTTGTAACGAACCCATATATGGTCAACACCAAAAATGGTATGTCTGCACCTGAATGCTTTGATCATATGAACTTGACAAAACCG